AAATAAGAAAAGTATTCTCTGGGCACTTAAAAAGAAAGTATATAGCATTCTGATTTTGAATGAAAGCCACAGTGTCACAGCGATATATCACAACCCCCCCCATCTTGTTGATGATTACCTCACTAATCTCATCTTTTATGCTCTCCCTCACTCAGTGCCCTCCAGCCACAGGCTTTGTGAATATACCAGATGTATCTCTGATCAGGCCTTTGCACTTGCTGTTTCTTTTGCCGGAACACTCTTTGCTCTAGATATCCATATGGCTTCTCTCTCCCTGCCTCCTCATGTCACCACAATAAGGCATTTCTCGTTAGTGCTTTTTAACATCAGACGTGTATAGTAAATGACATACTTAATTTTTTTTTTTTGAGTTACCATCTGTGGGCTGTGTCTGTTGATTATGAAGGGAATAAGAAATTAATATCCTTATACATATATTTATTCTCATCTCCCGTTTTTCTCCTCTACCATGGGATTCAGATTAAATATATTGGTAGTAGTTGTTAAAAGTATAGAATACTATTACAGTTGTTTTGTGACTTTAAATATATTATACTGAAACTTCTGTCATGACTTAGTTGATCTGCTCTAAGCAGTATCCGTATATCCTTTCCAGTATTAAAAGGAGGAAATCAATGTACTTACGATTTTCCTTCCTCCTGATTTTGTATTTATATTAATGTTATTTCTACAGTTATTTATTTTTTGAGACAGAGTACCACTCTGTCACCCTGGGTAGAGGATAGAGTGCTGTGGCATTATCATAGCTCATAGCAACTTTAAACTCTTGAGCTCAAGCAATTTTCTTACCTCAGCCTCTCAATTAGCTGGGGCTAGAGTCATGAACCACAGCACCCGGCTAGTGGTTACAAAATAAACCCCCCATTTATTTAAATTTAGTTTTATATTTAGAAGGATTCAGTGTTCTTCACCATCCATTATTACCATGGCGTTTGATAAGGACCTTGTTCCACTACGTAAATCAAAACTATTTTCTTTTTTTTTTTGAGATAGAGGCTCACTATGTTGCCCTTGGTAGAGTACTATGGTGTTACAGCTCACAACAACCTTAAACTCTGGGGCTCAAGCAATTTTCTTGCCTCAGCCTCCCAAGTAGCTGGGACTACAGGCGCCTGCCACAGCACCTGGCTATTTTTTTTGTTACAATCGTCACTGTTGTTTTAGCTGGCCCAGGCTGGGTTTGAACCGCCAGCCTTGGTGTATGTGGCCAGTACACTGAACTACAGGCTCCGCCAACACTATTTTCTTCATTGAGAAAGTCTCGCTGGCAGAAGAAAAGAAAAGATCAGCTGTGCTAGTGTGCCTAGTGATATGTATGTATGTGTTTTGGCACATGTTCCTGTTCTCACTGTAGACTGGAAACAGTTTGCAGATCAGCAGTGGCCCATGGAACACAGTTTTGCCGGGGTCTTAAAAACATATCTTTGATTTTTTTTTTTTTAAAGTACCAAATACCAAACAATGCCTGCACTACCCCTATCTGATATACATACACTGTTTGTTGTCATGTATATATTTTAGACTCCATAGGACATTATTAATGTTTTATACAGTGAGTATTAATTCAGATTTACTCACATATTTGTCTTTTGAGTTGGTCTTCACTCTCTCCTACATCTCCCAGTTACCGTCTTAGATTTTCCTCTTACCTGCAGAAATCCCTTTATTTTGTTTTAATGCATTAATAGATCTGCTGATAGCATAATCTTTATTTAAGATTGTTTTATGTTTTATATTGTTTGAAAGTACCTTTTTTTTTTTTTTGAGACAGAGTCTCACTTTGTAGCCCTTGGTAGAGTGCTGTAACATCACAGCTCACAGCAACCTCAAACTCTTGGGCTTAAGGGATTCTCTTGCCTCAGCCTCCTAATTAGCTGGGACTATGGGCAACCACCACAAGGACCACCTATTTTGTTGTTGTTGTTGTTGCATTTGTCATTGTTATTTAGCTGGCCTAGACCAGGTTTGAACCCACCAGCTTCAGTGCATGTGGCCGGTGCTGTAACTACTGAGTTACGGGTGCCGAGCCCTTTATTTGATTTTTAACCTAGAAGGATTTTCACTGGATATATAATTGTTTGTTTTAGCACTTTGGGAAATAATGATAGTGGTTTAATATATTAAATATCAATATCATGTGGCTATATTAATTCTTAAGATTCATCACTCAATAAAAATATTTTTCAGCAGGCTTATGATCAGAAGAACATTAGGCGAAGAGTTTATGATGCTTTAAATGTGCTGATGGCAATGAATATAATTTCAAAGGAAAAAAAAGAAATCAAGTGGATTGGCCTACCTACCAACTCTGCTCAAGAATGTCAAAACCTGGAGGTAAGCGAGAAGATCCATTTTCCTATAGTTTGCATTATTTTATATCAGAGGCATTTTCATTTAAAAATATAATCATGTAGGGTGGCGCCGGTGGCTCAGTGAGTGGGCGCCAGCCCCATATACCCGAGGTGGCAGGTTCAAGCCCAACCCCGACCAAACTGCAACAAAAAAAAAAAAGCCAGGCATTGTGGTGGGCACCTGTAGTCCCAGCTACTCAGGAGTCTGAGGCAAGAGAGTGGCCTAAGCCCAAGAGCTGGAGGTTGCTATGAGCTGTGACACCACAGTACTCTACAGAGGGCAACAAAGTGAGACTCTGTCTCCAAAAAAAAAAAAGAAAGAAAAGAAAGAGGGATAAGGGAGGATTTTGCCAAAAAAAAAATAAGTCCTGTGCTCAGTTATGAGGGAGGAGCAGAGTTGCCAAGTGGATAAGGGCAGGGAGGGCCTTCCAAGCAGGAGCCGACACAGGCATGAGACGCCCAGAGTAGGCTGTTGCCAGAGTATAGGCATAGAGACAGTGCTTAGATTTCTACATGCTAAGCAGTGAGGACCTGATCCTGTAAATAGTGGGAAGCTATTGATAATTTATAGAGAGGAGGGTTGTTGATATGTTTTAAAGGATCATTCTACTAGTTGGTTAGAAGACAAATTAATAGGTAGATGGGGAAGGAAATGGGATAGAGGATGGGGATTAGAGAAGGCCTGAGTTGAGGTGGTAGTGGTGAAATGAGAGAGAAGTTCTAGAGGTAGAATCAGTGCATCTTGACCTGGTCGGATGTGGGGCAGGAGGGGCAGGTGGGGACTTGGCCTGTCAGAACTTCAGGTGCAGGGAAACTCTTACAGCATCTTTTCAAATGTAGAAAGCCACACAGATTTTACAGTGAATCTTAGGTACTGTAGGACTACCATGTGATAGTGGTTTGAGGAGCCAAGCATGGAAACCCTAGTCCAGTCTAGAGTAGATGGGGGAACAAAAAGGAAATAATCTGTTGGAGTAGACAAGGAATGTTTTACTTGATGTGTCAAAAGAGAAAACTACAACAGCTTTACTTGTGATTCTAGAATTGGGCAACACCTTATTATAATCAGGAGAACTTGTGTTCCTGTAAGCTGAGTAGAGGAGTTTGGCTTTATAAACAGAAAAGAAATGAAAAAAGCACAAACAACAAAAAGTGGATTAGTCATTTCCAAGTTACTTTCCTTATAAAACAGGGGACTTACGTGATGTGGGCTAAAACTGACCTTTTGGGGGTATAAATATTCTCTTTCTTTCTCTCTTTCTTTTTCTCTCTCTGCTGATTTCTTGGAAGGTCAGATATACAGCTTAGTTTTGGCGTGGTTGTTGGAACTTGAGCGTGAGTAACTCCATTTTGGCTTGGTCTAGTGCAGGGAGTTTATTACAAACCAGTGGTGTCTTGTACATTTAACTTAACAGATGTCATTGACTTTTGCCTAAGGAGACAGGAACTCAACTGGAAGGAAATTTAGACTCTCATATCTATTTTCTACGTAGCTGTAAGATTAAGAAAAAGAGCAGTTGTTTGAAGCTGGAAAATTTATCTAGCAAGCGCATTTCTTATTACAAGTAGTAACTGTATGTTGAATGTGTGGGATATCTGTATCAGCAGCTCCACTGCCTCTTGACAGTCAGCTAAACTGAGATCTTAAGTAATCTTCCCTTATTCTCATAGGGTAATGTAGCAAGTAATTGTTCAAATCCTGGCTCTTACCATTCCATTAGCTGTGTGACTTTGGTCAGTTACTTAACCCTCCATGCTTCTGTTTCCTTACGTGCAGAATGGGCTTCTTTTTTTTTTTTTGAGAACAGGGCCTCAAGGTGAGCCACTGGGTAGAGTGCTGTGGCTTCACTGCTCACAGCAACCTCCAACTCTTGGGCTTAAGTGATTCTCCTGCCTCAGCCTCCCAAGTAGCTGGGACCACAGGCGCCTGCCACAACGCCCGGCTATTTTTTGGTTGCAGCCATTATTGTTGTTTGGCATGCTGGGCTGGATTCGAACCCGCCACCTTGGGTGTATGTGGCTGGCGCCTTAGCCGCTTAAGCCACAGGCGCCGAGCCCAGAATGGGCTTTTATAACCATCAATACAAGCAGAAAAACAATCATAATAACAACAGTACTTACCTCATAAGGTTTTTGTGAAAGATCAATTAAGTTTACTGTGAGTAAAGTGCTCAGTTGAAGGCTGGCACATAGTAAGTCTAACCTAAGTGGGACCAGCGCTTTGATTAGAACCTGAGTAATAACAGCAAACAGGTACTGCATGCCAAGTGTTCAGTGAGGGCATGGGGTTTTTTTTTTTTTGAAACAGAGTCTTCAAGCTGTTGCCCTGCGTAGAGTGCAGTGGCGTCACAGCTCACTGCAACCTCCAACTCTTGGGCTTAAGTGATTCTCTTGCTTCAGCCTCCCAAGTAGCTGGGACCACAGGTGCCCACCACAGTGCCTGGCTATTTTTTGGTTGTAGTTGTCATTATTGTTTGGCAGGCCCAGGCTGGATTCAAACCTGCCAGCTCCAGTGTATGTGGTTGGCGCCCTAGCTGCTGAGCTACAGGTGCTGAGCCCAGTGGGTTTTGTTTTTGCTGACAGCTGCCATAGTTCTGCTGTCGTACTTGTTTGCTCTCCCCCAGCCCTGCACCCTCAAGGTGTGATTTGCCTTTATTCACATCCATAGTTAAAGAGGGTTGAGTTTCTCGAAGAAAAAAAATTTTTTTAGAGACAGTCTCCTCTATCACCCTCAGTAGAATGCAGTGGCGTCACACAGTTCACAGCAACCTCCAACTCCTGGGCTTAGGCAATTCTCTTGCCTCAGCCTCCTGAATAGCTGGGACTACAGGAGCCTGCCACAATGCCCGGCTATTTTTTTGTTGCAGTTTGGCTGGGGCTGGATTTGAACCCACCCTCAGTATAGGGGGCCGGTGCCCTACCCACTGAGCCACAGGCGCCACCCACAAAGAAAAATTCTTGATAAGTCTATATAGGGACCTGAAGAGAGAGTGATACTTTATACTCTACATATGTTCATGGGTTTTTTTGCCAATGTTTTAAAGATAGAGAAGCAAAGGCGGATAGAACGGATAAAGCAGAAGCGGGCCCAGCTGCAAGAGCTTCTCCTACAGGTAAAGATGGTGGGGTGTTTTTCATCCCCTTCCCTGTTTCTCCACTTACTGCCTTTAGAGTAAGTGTGCTTTCTAACTGGTGCTGCCAAGTAGTGTCTGGTGGGCCCATCGGGGCCCTTCTAGTTGTGAAGGTCTGTGACAGATTCACCTTCTTAGAAAAAGGGAAGTCACTTTCTTTGGCTTTTGAGTAACGGTTCTGACTAAAAGTAGCCACAAGATTTGGTATATTCAGGCCTTGATAAATCTTACAATTAGAGCTAATCCTCCTGGTGTTCAAGAGCATAAAGAATTAAAAAAAAAAAAATTAGTGCTAAGCCTTGGTTTCCTGAGGATGCTGAACAGTTCTGCGGCGGTGCCTTGGAAACCATGTAACTGTGCAGGAGGGTGTAGGACCCCAGCTGCACTACAGCCAGCCAGAGC